CAAGACAACCAGAAAAATAAACAGGACTTTTAGAAGAAACCAAGTTTCCCAATAAATTCTATTAAAAAAAAAAAGAAGAAGAAGAAACCAAGTGTTCTCTCATTCGGAGGTGGAGGTAGGGTCCTTGCACTTATGGAATTGTTTGTGTTTTTTTTTTTAAAATTTATTTCTTTAGAGAGAGGAAAGAGAGAAACATCTATTTATTGTTCCACTTACTTATACATTCATTGGTTGCTTCTTGTATATGCTCTGACTGGAGATGGAACCTGAAACCTTGGCATATCAGGACAACACTCTAACCAACTGAGCTACCTAGCTAGGATTTGTGGAATTGTTTAGATCTGTGCTATAACTGTAAGATACATACTGGATTTCAAAAATTTAATAAAAAGAGAATGTTAACTATATTTTCTTTTGATTACACGTTGAAACAACAATATTTTGGATATATTACGTTAAATAAAATATAATGCTGAAAATAATTTCACCTCTGCCTTTTTACTTTTTGTTTTGTTTTGTTAATCCTCACCCGAGGATATTTTTCCATTGATTTTTAGGGAGCGTGGAAGAGAAAGGGAAAGACTGAGAGAAATATTAATGCGAGAGAAACACATTTATTGGTTGCCTCCTGCACGAGCCCCAACCAGGGCCCGGGCTGGGGAGGAGCCTGCAACTATAGTACGTGTCCTTTACTGGATTTGAACCTGGGACCTCTCTAAAAATCAATGAAAAAATATCCTTGGGTGAGGATTAAAAAAATAATAATAAATAAATAAAATCCATTGGTTGTCTCTTGCACATGCCCTGAACAAGGCTAAGGATAGAGCCTGCAACTGAGGTACATGCCCTTGGTCAGAATCAAACCCGGTACCCCCCAGTCCACAGGCTGACTCTCTATTCACTGAACCAAACAGGCTAGGGCAACCTTTATTGATTTTAGAGAGAGGAAGGGAGAGAGAAACATTGATGTGAGAGAGAAACATCAATTGGCTACCTCTCACTCCCCCCACCCCCACCAGGGATGGCACTCACAACATGGGTATGTGCCCTGATGAGGAATCAAACTGGCCACCTTTTGGTGTACAGGATGACACTCCAACCAACTAAGCCATACAGGTCAGGGCCAAATTGAAGACTTTCAAGGCAAAAGGACCACCAGCCTATATAATAAAGAGGTAATATGCAAATTGACTGTCATACCCTTGCACAAGATGGCCACCCCCATGTGGTCACAAGATGGCCATGCCCATGTCACAAGATAGCCACCCCATATCATCACAAGATGGCTGCCACAAGATGGCCGTCAGGGGGGGGCAGTTGTATCAATCAGGCTGGCAGGGGAGTGGTTAGGGGGTGATCAGGCGGGCAGGCAGAAGCAGTTAGGGGCGATCAGGCAGGCAGGCGAGCGGTTGGGAGCCAGCAGTCCTGGATTGTGAGAGGGATGTCCGACTGCCAGGATCAGGCCTTAACTGGCAGTTGGACATCCCCTGAGTGGTCCCAGATTGGAAAAGGTGCAGGTGGTCTGAGGGACACCCTCCCCAGTGCATGAATTTCATGTACCAGGCCTCTAGTATTCTAATAATAGCCTATGGCTTGTTTTACTATTCAGGCAAAACTTACACAAAGTGATTATTTATTTGACTCTCTGTATGAATCATGAGTTTGGGCTCTTTTGCTTTCCACAGAATACCAGGCCTAGCGTTGAGCTCATCAATACTCAATATATATAAGGAATATTATAGTGTATAGACTCCATACTAATAAAGGTGGATTTCTTTCTTTTATTTTGATAGAGACCCCAGATATATACTATCACTTCATCATTTCATACTTTCCAAAGAATTCATTGTTCCCATTACCCTTTAAATACTTATCTTTGATGATATGGGAAATATTGAGTGATTATTTTTGAATTAAACCTTGGGGGACTCCTTTGCTGGGAGGTTGACAAACATTTCTGAATTTCTTTGTATGCCCAAAGAAAGCTAAACTTTTACAAACATGCTCTTCATGTAACAACACAGATAAGCATTTAACCATTAATCCAATCCACCTAGCCCTAAAAGGAACATAATATTCTTAACAAATGTAGAACATACAAGTGGTACATCATCACCAGACTGTTTTCAGTAACTTTTCTAATACAGATGTGCCCTGTTTTAAAGCACAAATAAGTGGGTTTGTTTAAATGCATTATAGGAGCATTTAAGATCTTGCTTACTGGAAATTGTCATCAATTTGGCTCAAATACAGGCACTGGGGATACAGTGAAAATGAGGCTGACAAGACTCCTGTTTTCATGGCACTACTTTGAGAGGCTCACGGGACACCTGTGTGCTGACGCTCTCCGTCTTACTAGTATGTGATCAACCCAGGCAGAGCTGTGTATGAAGTTCCCTTCCCTGCCAATAATGATATTTGTGACACTGGGAAGTATAAAGAAGTCACAAAATAATGTGAACTTGGGCACAATGGTGGCACATCAAAGAAGTACTCCCCCCCGCAAAAGAAGTACCATCCCAGAGATTCATGTACAATATGCTCTATGCCTGCAGTATCTTGTACAAAACCAAACTACCTATCATTGTGGTCATGGATAAAACTGACATCACTGATCACAGCTCTGCAGTGGAATGGATGCACAATTTTGAGGCTTTCCGAGATGCCTTGAATCAAGAGACTACATATGTCAGTAACCTGACTTGTTCAGTGAGCTTGGTGTCAGATGAATTTTACAGCTCACTCAAGGTGGTAGGTGTATACTGTTCTGGGTACAGGCTCAGGTGAACACTTTGTGCAAGTCACCAGTGCTGTGATGACTAGGATAGTTTTTAACTTTATTGTAAGCCTACCTGTCATAATTTCAAATAAGGAAGTTATATAATCACAAATAGATTCACTTCTGTTCATCAGAGAGGTTTAAAGTTACACGTCCAAACCTGTCTCAGTAAGGAGGTGATGTTTACTAAAGTTTCATATACATATCTAGTAACCAGGTATAGATCCAGGCCCTGTTTGTATTGTACTTTTTTTTTGTACTAGAGGCCTGGTGCACGAAATTCATGCACGGTGTGTGTGTGTGTGTGGGAGCGGCGCACATCCCCTCAGCCCAGCCTGCACCCGCTCGAAATCTGGGACCCCTTGGGGGATGTCGGAGAGTCGGTTTCAGCCCAATCCCACAGGCCAGGCCAAGGGAACCCACTGGTGCTTGTGCACCAGGCCTCTAGTCTATAAACATACCAGTAAAAGCCTCAACAACCAGACAACCGAACACCTGGAACACATGTCAACCGACCAGTAGCTATGATGTGCACTGACCACCAGGTGG